CCGAATAGGCTCAAGGAAATAAAAGGCCTCGAGCGAGGTTTTACTTCAAATATATATATATATAAGCTTGGTTGCCTTACCTGGAATCTCCTCTTGAAATTATTATCAATTGTCATGGATGTTTAGGCCTTCAGCAATTCTGTTGAGCCGATGTAATTATTTCATTCCTTTTTCTTAGCTAAGTGTGTTAAACTTATAATGACAATGTTTCAAGTGTTATGCATGTAAAGATCTCTTTCTTTTGTTTTTATTACACTTGTACATTAATGTCATCCACCTTCTTTAGTTTATGTGAAGTCCAGATGTTGTTTCAGCCCTATAGACTTGGTGTTCTTTGCCGGTTCGTTCCCTGCTATCTTTACCTGCAGGTTGCAATACCTGGGCCTGTTTGATGACTCTTAGGCTGATGTGTGCAATGTTTTTGGACTGCTTTGGCTGTGAGATTTTGATTTTGTGGAGCCTTGTGGTCTCGACTTTATGAGCTCATTCAGTTCAATTTTATGGAGCCGACGACATCAGTTTATGGAGTTGGCTTGGTTTGGTTTTGTAGATTCCCCAAATTAAGTTTTACGAAGAAGTTTTGGCATACTTATGAAATTGATCATTTTTTGTTTTGGGGGTTAGCTGCCCCCTCCTCTCTGTTGCTAGCCCTATTCGAGAGCTTTGTGGGAGCTTCCCTGTGTTAGTTTGGATTGTTTTCCCTGCTAACTCTTTTGGAGAGCCTTGTTGGAGCTTCCTTGTGTTAGTTTGAATTGTTTTCCTTGCTAGCTCTATTCAAGAGCCTTGTTGGAGCTTCCCTGTGTTAATTTGGATTGTTTTTCCCTATTGGATCATTTCGGAGTCTTTATTGTGGCCTCCCTGTGTTGATTTTGGTGGTGCTTTTGCTGCTCCTACCTGAAATCAGAAGTGTGGGTTCTCTTATGTTGGTTTTGGTAATGTTTTTGCTGCCTCTACCCGAGAGCTCTATTTGAGACCCTGGTTGGTGCTTTCCTGTGTTGTCTCACTGTGTTGGTTTTGGTGGTGCTTTTGCTGCTCCTACTTGAAATCAGCAGTGTAGGTTCTCTTGTGTTGATTTTGGTGATGCCTCTGTTTCCCCTGCCCGAGAGCTCTATTCGAGACCCTTGTTGGTGCTTTCCTGAGTTAGTTTAGATTGCTTTCCCCTGTTGGATCTATTCGAAATCATTATTGTGGCCTCCCTGTGTTGGTGTGGGTTGTTGCTTTGCTGCTTCTACCTGAAATCTGTAGTTTGGGTTCCCTGTGTTGGTGTGGGTTGTTGCCTTGCTGCCCCTACCCGAGATAAGCTATTTGGGTTCCCTGTGTTGGTGTGGGTTGTTGCCTTGCTACCTTTACCTGAGATCAGCGATGTGGGCCCTGTTGTGTCGGTTTTGGTGGTGCTTTTGCTGCTCCTACCTGAAATATGTAGTTTGAGTTTCCTGTATTGGTGTGGGTTGTTGTCTTGCTGCCCCTACCCGAAATCAGTTAGTTGGGTTGAGTTTGGTGGTCCTCTTAGTTGTCTTTACCTCTAATTTGTTGACCTTAGGGTGGGTTTAAATGCTTTAATTCTCGTGGTTTTGGGAAATTGAGTATATTCTTTGAGAGTCGATTTGCTTGATGTTTGGAAGGAGTTTCAATGCCCAGTTCTTTGGGTTGAATTGACTGTAGTGAAAGGCCCTTCTAAAATTTGTTGGGAGAATCAAAGTGCAGCTTTTGAGCAGGTTTGGACTGAATTGGGAGCAACTTGGAATCCTCTAAAATGTGTCGTTCAGAGATGTTTTGGGCTAGCAATTGGACCCTTTCGATACATCTCTTTTGGATTGTTATACTGGTAGTTTGGAAAAGAGAGTTAGCTATTGATAAATGTGCCTACTTTGTCGGCTATTTGAGGTGTTTTATTGGGTGAATATTTGAGGCTAACCCTACTACCGTTTTGGTCTCCTCCTTATACTAGTTTTAGAGGTGGGTTAGTCATCTTCCTTTTTATTTATTTCTTTTTGGTTTTCTTTCTTTGCTTCTTGGTTTGGTTTTGGTGCTTATGTCTAAAGCATAAGTGTGCATATATAGTTGTGGCTATGTATGAACCATCAAGCAAAGCCGTAAGTTGGATGGTTTTTTTTAGAGTTCAAGGTCATTATGACAAAGACATCCAGTGGTAGAACAGAATAATATTGCATCTTACGACATCAGGACCCGACACAGAGACCCGGTGAAAATGTAGGATGACAGTATTATTTACTGACACTAGCCTAACGATGACCCTTGCTTTTTTAGGTTGTTAGCGGTCCTAGCCCGATAGTGTAATCGACTCATGAACAATCAAACTTATAAAATACAACGATGCGAACGGATACATTTCTTACAAAATATTTTGACTACTAAAATAGATATAAATTTTGCTTATATGCATTAAGCCTATACGAATGCCAAAATATAAACTTTAAGTAATAAAACCCAATTGTCCACTTGTCAATTACTTGTACTACGCTAAGGATTGCCCTCCTAAGATTGTATTTTTAGAAATTTCCAGTTGAATGTCGGACTCTATACATACGGATGAACGATGATTGCCTTCGAAGTCCCTCAGAAATAACTAAAATATGAGTCTACCCCGACCCGAATGCTTACAGTTTTCTTTCTTTCCTCGGATTTTTCGTACGTTTCATACGATTTTATTCGAATCTTTGTAGAGCACTCGTAATTTCCATCGGATTTTCTTCATGTTTCTAATGGTTTTCTTCGAGTTTATTTGCGGCTTTCCTCGATATTTCCAGGTGATGTTATTGCTATTTACTTCTATTTGTATAAATGCATGTTTGCCACCTGTTAAATTTTCCATTAAACTCGTTTACTTTTAGCTGCGACACCGACCCCATTTACAGGAGTAGCAAACTAGTCAGGTATACAGGTTTGTTTTATATTTACAACATTTTACTTTCTTTACTGTACATCTTACTGTCTTTCTTTACTTACCGTTCTCCTTTACCGCACTTTATTACATATGTATATAGTTCATGCTTGCGATGTCATTGTTTATTGTTTACTGCGCTTGTAGTATGTTTTCTTTTTATTATTTATGTTACTTCTATAGACTTGCAGGTGCCTTTAGGATAGAGGACAGCAGGACATCCGGTTTAAGAAGCACCCTATAACGAGTCACTGACCTAACAACTGTATATACATACACACCAAAACCCTGAACCTATGATCGATATGTTAATGAGCATGGAGTATCCTTTCCAGGAAGCGAGTGGATGGAGGGCAACAATCGAGATCACAACAGCGAAGCGAAGGACGATCCTCTGTTGAAATTTTCATAGAATAAATAACAAACCAATAGAACTTCGAGGTAGTCCGCTTGGTGCAACATAAATCCTCACTTCCATTTTAGGGCTTTGCACTACTCTATTGTGCATTACAAGTCCTAATTCTCTTTAAGATTTTGAGGTTGTCGTTCGGTACGACGTAAATCCTCCTATCATCCTAAACCATTTGCACAATCGGGTATCGTGCGAGCGTAAATCTTAAATAATAAAATTGTCAGGATGAAACATCAAATAACATCTCTTCAATAGGATAGTTAAGAAGTCACCGGGGTTCCCCCTTAGATCTGTGACATCGCCTACCTTTCACTCCTTTGATTCTTAAAAATAAATGTTCCTATTCTAAGCTCTTCCCTTTTGATTTTCTGATATTCAACCTTGAAAACCTAAACTTTGAAATTTTGAAGACAGTTTCACTAATCTTTATCGAGAGTTTTCTTAGGTGATCTCGATTGTCTAAGATGTAATTAACTATAGGGGTTTGCCTCTATAGGGAACTTAATAACCCAACTTAATATAAAACCTATTAAATTTTTCATGTTAAATAGAGGAACTTGTCTAATAATAGGTTTTATATTAAGTTGGACGTCACAAATTCATTAGCTTAGGTGGTTAAGCCTACTAACAAATGGTATGTTTATACTTCAGGATAGTGTACCATTTATGGTATCATGTTCAACCATCAAAATAATTAAATATGTGAAGTCCATTCGGTCTCACTTTTTTAAATTAAAATAACATTATTTTCGAAAATTATAACCATATATAAAATAAGTTGAAAAATTATTTTAAAGTTAAAAATATTATTTTATAAACTTATAATCACATATATAAACTAAGTTAAATTAAATCTTAAATAAAGAATCCACGACAATTATTTGGCCGACAGCCGCAATAACCACCAACCGAAGAAAGGGTACTAAAACACAGAGGACAAAGTGCACAAAACCACCAAATCGAACGGAAGAAATGAGAGGAGAAGGAGATGTAAGGGTCGCGAGAGTGACCAATCGCAACCAACAAGAGGCAACCAGAAGCAATGCCTAGCCACCAGAGCCACGGATTCAAAGGGATCGAGAGAAGAGAAATTAGGGCAATAGTCGCCTCAAGGGAGCCATAGAGGAACAAGAGGGCAACCACGGAAGGAACACAAAAGGGCAGCCGTGTAATAAAATTTTAAGAACGCGGGTCGCGGGGTTGAACCTGCAACCAGTGCTTTGATTTGGTTTATCAAAACACCCTCGTGACCACAGAATCCAAACAGCCCAAACCGCGGTCCCAAACCACACCACAGTAAAGCCACCGCCCCAAACGACCCCTGAATCACATGCAGCCAAATTAATAATTTTTTTCTTTGTTGTTCTGCTAATATACTGATTGTAGATCCGTTTAGGCTTGAATTTCTAGAGTTAATCATATTCTTCTCCTAAATTTATTCCCAACAAAACAAAGTCTAAGCTGACACCAACCTAATTGTCAAAACAATCATACATGGAAGAAAATACATTCAATACTCATTCATCATTAACTAATCAAAAAAGATCAGAACCCTCTTCTTCATGTGCAAAGCACCAACAAAACCAATATCTTATCTGATGAAATAACTGTAAATTTTCGAACTTTAAAAAGCATGATGAGAAAACCAAATGAATCCTCTGAAGTTATCAAATAAGCAAATCTTACCAAATGCAAACTGGATTCAGCAACAAATAAAATTCCATTTGGGCAATCAAAAGACGACACTGAGGTTGCATGGGTGGCGGCTTGGAACGAGATTGATGTATAAACAATGCTATGCCTTGCAACGTGCAAAAGCCAGGGCGTTTCACAAAGCACAACTACATCTGCATTGAGCGAATTCTGTAGAGGAACCAGAACGACAGGAGCTATACCGAAGCGTCGAAATGCAATCAATTCTAACTGAACAGATCTGAAGTTCCCAAGCTTTGTTGGATAATACGAGGAAGAAGATAGAACTGAGGCCTGAGGCAACTCATACCGGAGTAGCACTCCGTTCCTCAAGCCGGCAAGTATATAAAACTTATCAACTAACACAAGCCGAACATCCTGAGGTATGCAGCTACTTAAAGGAGTTCCAAGTGCATTGTCTATTGAAATTGCCCCAGTCGCAAGGAACTTAAAGCCTTGATCAGGTGAAAAAGAGAGAACCTCAACAGATGGTATGTGGGTACCCACCACAAAAGTCATGTGGCATCCATCTCCATTAAAGACGGTGTCTTGATTATCTTTCTTGGCAAAATGAAAATTTGATGAAAGCTGCTCAAAGTTGATTTCCTGTTCGGGTATAGATATGCAAGAAACCTCATGCTGCAACGACAAATGTTGAATTTCATACAATTCATTTTGATAGGCTGACAACGATCTTATGCCCAGAACAAACAAAATGCAAGGGTTAGAAGTAACTATAAGAATCACATTATGTCCCACTGCAGCTGAACTAATAGACACATTATCAGGGCACCAAGAGGTGCAAAATGGTATTAAGTGGGGGCAACCACTCACATGAGCAGCTGTAGTGGGCAAAGACAATCTCACACCTGCCCTATGAATCTGAACTAGCAACCCATCAGACACCAAACCACAAGCCAGGGTACAAACATCAGGCCGAAAACCAGTGGCATCAGTTACATCACAAAAACTTAAGCCAACTGAGAGTACCCTTGTCTCTTCAACAAAAGACAATACAAGAAATGAATGATAAGGGTCTCCCCGTTTCATCCTTAATGTCCATGTGCCAGTTATACCTTCATAAACCGGAGGAGTTTTCACAAGTTTATCAACACTTAAACCAGCACGTATAACTCTCAATGATCCTGCAGGATTCATACCGCAGCAGGAAAACATTTGATCTTTCTTTTCATCATGGTCATCAACAACAGCTAAATCCAAGATTGGTGCAATATTCTGAATGTTGCTCTTGTACACAAGGCCTCCATCTTGCAACTTTAGAACCAAACCATCTCCCATTTCTACAAGCCCCATTACAAAACCACCCTTCAACCATAAAAGCTCCTTGCAGGGCAAACCTCTGTAGAGGCACTCGGAGAGATCAGATCTGATTCCTTCAATCGTTGAATGAATTTCAAGGATGTACAGTTCCCCGGAGTCCAAACAGAGGACCAAATTTGCACTCGCTGTTCCAACAGGTTCCCAACAACAGGCACATACATGCTTGGAAGTTGAAGCTGCTTCCATACCATCGTCGACACTCATGGGATCATCTTTGGCCATAGCCGCCACCGAATCACTCAGTTCCAGCAATGCACAAACAGCCACACTGGACATTCCATCATCATCAATATCCATACCTCTAGAAGAATCGTGAAAAAAATCCGGCTCTTCAATTACACTGGGTAAACCGAAGTTTATTCTTTGAGCACATTGTATACAATATGGGTCTCTAAAATTCATTAGGAGAGCATCATCTATCCTAAACACAACTGCAAATCCAGAAAGATGAGGAACAGCAGATAATTTAAGTGCCAATGGCCCAATTTCAACTTCAGGGTACGAGGATATAAATTGAATAGCACGTGTTTCTATGGTACATCCAAACAACAACAATTCATTTCTTAACCTTCCTTTCCTGGAATTTATTACAACCATCAGTTGTAAAAAAATTAAATTTCAAGTAACAACAAGGACGGCAGCTATGATCAATATAATCAAACTGGAACTTCCCAAACCAAATGACAGAAAATAAAAAAATACCTATGCATTATAGTGGCCATTATGGGATAAAACCCCTTGCTTGAATGATCGGTGCCATGAGAAACGAAGCAAATGCTCCAAATTGTGCCGCAAATGTTTGTCTTCACAGTATCCTTCACAGAACTTGTTTCATCTTTGTTTTCTGGTGGATAGAACATTTTCTGAAATTAGGACATGGAATATCTTCAAATTTTGAATAAATATTTAACGTATTATACGAGTGATATGCAAGTAATAGCTACATAGAAAGATCACCTCATCAACAATGCTGTCTCCAAGATGTGTGGACATAGAAAATAAAGCAAATTGGTCTTCATATGCGCTAGCTGCAATAAAAGAGCCACTACAAAAAGAAGGACTTGAGGTTTAAGAAAAAAATTGAAAATTTCAACGGAAACGGTGATGCAGTATAGAGGATTTGCGCTATCAGAAGCAGCTTGAAATTTGTTAATCAAATCAAGTAATTAAATTAAAATTGCAAATCATCTATAAAACAAGTTTTTGAACTTTCACTCGCATCAAACTAGATTTTTCTTTTATCATAAACCTTAGGACAACAAAAATCCCATGCCTCCAGAAAAACAAGGAAGGCATGAATCTTTGACCAATCAAAGCGATAGAGTAAACAAAGAGCCTGTAACAGTAAAAACCTATGCCTCCAGTAACAAGGAGACAGTTGGTATCAATTGAACAATCAAAGCCAAAGAGTAAACAAATCCCCTGTAATTGTTACCCTTTGCTGTTGAATCCCGACAATCTATATATATATAATAACTCTCATCAAAATATTGCAAAGTGTCTAGTCAATTCCTAAAAGTAAATCTAAATTACAAAGAAAAATACGAGTTCTTTAATTTAGTTCGTATCAATTATAGAACATTTTCGACTTAAACAGAGGATATCAAGGTTTTTTATCTTATTTTATGAACTATGATGCTTAAAATTCAAAAAGAAATTTACAGCATCTAATCCACTGTGAGGAAAGTGTTAAAATAGTCTCCTAACTTATTGCAAGGTTATTCTAGTCTCAGATTTTACAAAAGTGTCAATTTAGTCCCTAGACATTTTTAATATGTGCTGAAATAGTCCCAAGGAGGACTATTTTAGCCCCAATTTAAAAATTTTAAGGATTAATTTGGCACTTCTATAGACTTTGGAGCTAAAATGGCCCCATGGAAATAGTCAAGGGACTATTTTGACACTTTACTCAATCCACTGTTTATTGCTACTTAAGCCAGCAAACCAACATTCATCAATGCCGCATCAAACCCAATACTCCAGTTTGCAATTACTTGAAACTTTTTTTAAGCTCAGGGAATATCATATTTCTCTCAGGGAATATCATATTTCTATCAAGCGTTCTACTAGAAATATAGGAACTATAGCATTACATACATGTCCAATAGAATTTACTTTTCCTCACCTTCATATCATAGAATTTTTTCAAATTAAAACAAGAAATAGCACATAACAATTCATGTTAAAACTTAAAAGATTCATTTACCGCCTTCCTTCAATTGTTGAAACTAAATAACTTTGATGGCTCTACTGCTCTTTATATTTATGTATTTAGCTCATATATGGTTTAGCAACTATGGTTGTGCTGCTTTATATAATTATATGTTTTCATGTAAACGATTTGGCAATTCATAAATTCCTTTTTCAATACAATCCATGAAGGAGAAAAAGATTCCTTATATTTTTATGAATCTTTCTCTTGTAGCATAAAAATAAGACAGAAACTCCTGGAGTAGATAAAAATGATTTGTAAGAAAATCCCACCCCTTGCTGAGAAAGAAAAGAAAACAGATAGGATATGCGGTTAGAAGCAAGATTTGGCATTTACATCCCTCCCTCCCTCCCTCAAGAAAAGCACTTCCATTGTTGATGACTAATAGCCTCGTACGATTTAGAACAAATAGTTCATTATCTAATGGACCTTTTATGTTATAAAGATCTATCAGGAAAAAAAAATTAGCATCCAACAAATATTTTCTATCAAAAGGAAAACTACTGGATCAAATGACAAAGATATTATTGAGAAAAAGATTGTTTTTTTTCCTGATAAAATGATGAAAAAAATGATTACGAGGAGTGCATTTCCCAATTTCTCAATCACAGCGTATGAAATGCTCATTAAATGAGGATTAAATGCAAGAGCTAGCTAGCTGAAAGACTGATGCAATGCATAGTTTCTAAGAGATTTTACACATAGATGCAAGATAAAATCTACATTTCCACGACATTGACCCAGTCTTTTTGCATCAAATGATCAAGATGTACAAAAAAGTAATCTAAACAGAGCTTGCATGACAATGAAGCTTCATGCATATCACAACCATAAAATGGTTCATAAAAACTAAAAAGGCTCGACAGCCGGCATCCAGCATACATTTTAAAATATAAAATTTCCAGTTGGGCAGTATATTACTTCAAAATACAACTTCCTTTCGATTCTGAAATCAATGTACAAAAATTTAAATGGAGTGAATAGAATTATAATTAGAGATGAACTAGTTCCTTGACTTCAAATACGCATCCAGCTTAACAAATAAGCTCAAGACCAGATTAATAAAACTTTTAAGCAAACCAACTAAGTTGTCTAACAGTAAAGAAAGAGTGCTGAAAAAACTAAGTCGGAGAATAATATCTGAATTATTAACTTAAAGAATGAAGTTGTAATCTTTTGAGCTCATCTCATCAAGCCAACCAAAACATTGACATGTGGATTCAAAGTTCGATATATCATATGTTTTTTAATCATTACATGCAAAATAATAGCATTTTTTACTAGTTGCAGGTGCGATAAAAGCAATAAGTTTATCCAAGTGTAATTATCATATACAGCAAACAAAGAAGTTGTGATTGTCATTAAAAAATAAGAGCAAAATTTTAATGCACTAAGAGAACTCTTCTAGAAAAGATCATCATTCAACTGAAAGCAAATACTAACAAAAAATAAATAAATAAAAAAAATAAAACTAAAACAACAATTGAAACTTACTCCGGATCAACAGCCAGCATTCTTCCGAGATGATGTATCGAATTTCCTGGCTTGGACAATTGTATATGGTTCAAAACAAGAAACCTACACGGCAACTAGAACTTAGCAGTTTAAATAAGTAAAGAACTTCCCAAAACATCAAAAATGTTATTCAACTACAGTCCATATGAGGAAAGAAGATAACAGAGAAAAAGAAAAGATAAATTGCATTTATGTACCCTGATTTTATCTGTATTGCACACCAGTTCCACATTTTGAATATTCACAATTGATACTGTGGCTCTAAAGAAATGTTTCCTCCCCCCTTCAGATCAATAGAAAAAATGTTCTAATAATTTACACTTTCTTGTCATGAATAAAAACGATTCTCTACTTTGACAACCATCTTCACTAGTTGAGGGTGAACAGAGAGATAACCATTCGGACCCCCAATTTTCAAACTCGTACTTTTGTCTCATATATTTTATATGAACTGTTTTAATGCCAAGTTTTATAAAAAAAATGGCCTGGCCACTTTGGTCAATAAGGAGAGCAGAATGCAAATGCAATCCCTACGCCCTATTAATAATCACAGCCACACTAGCTCTTTAAAAATCCACCGACATAAAGTAATGGGTCGCACAAGAATGAGGTTATTTAATTTTTAGCAAAATGCGCTACATATAACTTAAGTTAACTATAATATGTACTTACCAAATAATAATTATTGAATTCCGATAAAATTAAAGATGAATAATTCTACAGGATGGTCATGTTTCTCACTCACCATGTGAAAGGAAAATATTAAACTCCTTTTAACATTCTTGAGAGCTAATGAATGAGGTATTCAAAGTATTCAGCACCATTAGAGCCACCAAAAAACAACAGCAACACAGATGTGTAAAGATTCATGTGAGGGAGGCCTGACAACATTCTTGATTGATTAAATTGCAATATAGCAAAAGCTAGTTGAAGGACCCTCCCTCCCCAACACTACACTCCAAATGAATGGTAAATTGAATGATGCATCTGATGCTACAGCCTAATTGGTAAAAATATATAGTATTTCTATATATGCTATTTTCTGCAGTTAAATTTCTATAGGTAGGATTTTATGTCATTTGATTGACTTCATGAAGTCAATGAGGTGCCATGAGAAGTGATCTTCATATATTATTTAATTATATTAGTGTTATGTAAAGTCATAAATCTGAATCTTGTATATTAGGAAATTTGACATTAGGCAACCCAATTAGAGAAGATCTAATTACAAGATATTTTCTCTATTGGAGCTATTCCAAATCTAGAGAGTAGGGAGTGTGTATAAATATGCCATATATATTTTCAATTGGGAATAAGAAAGGAAGTTTTTCCATCATATGGTATTAGAGTTCCATTGAATTGTTCTCATCTACATCTTTCGCCATCATCAACGTTAGCCTTTGGTAATCGTTCGTCTTCTTCTTCAGCTTCGTTCATTTACATCTTTAGCTTGGCTTGTTCCAGCTTTGTCAACTTCTTCTACCACTTCCTACGAAGTAATCGTATGCGGCTCGAGCTCGTTCCGGCTCTGTCGAAGTCTTCGACTGCTTCATGCGACGACATCGCCTGCGGCTCAAGCTCGTTCTGGTTTCGTTGAAGTCTTCGACTACTTCCTACCAGTCTTGGTCCACTTCGAATGTCGCCATCTGCATAGACCTAGCTTTTGATTTCACTTGCTTCGAATGGCGTCATCTGCATTTATCTGGAAGCATTGTCTACAACTACTTAGTCTGCTTGATATGCATCGATGAGATTAGGGCATCGATGAAGTCGACTTCTGCTTCAGTCAATTTCCTCGACTGTTGTGCTTCACTATCTACTTCCTCTGCTTTGGTTGATTTTCTCGAGTGTTGAGTTCGGCTTTTGTTTGGCTTTATCGGTTCATCTATTTTTTTTTTCTTTATTCAGCAATCATTCAAGTTATTTGTCTCCTAGTACCTTGGAAGTTCGTCCTTCATCATTAAATGGCATCGATTATGACTGGTAAACACAAACATCATATGACAGGTTCGGTTTTATCAGTGGTTAATGGTATCAATTATTTTTACTCAAAATAAAACTCTAAGTTTTTAGTTAAGAAGTATTTTTCAAGAGAGTCGCCTCATTGATAATCCCTCAGCTAAGACTGAGTCGAATTATTCTCACTAGATGAGTTTGGATGTCTAGCTATTGATACAAATACGGAACTCTATCGAACATGATCACTCTGATCATATTACTCATTACGACTGTGCTAATGAAGTGATTGAGGAAATGTCGTTTGTATTTTTTGGGATAAAAAATAGTTCTTGAATATTTGACGTATGCAATAAATTTTATCGAGATGAACAACAAGATCAATCACTTAACATATATCACACACACTTTAAACATGTTTATGAAAAATTGAATGCACTAATGCCCTTCGCTACCAATGTCCTGATTCAACAGCTCAAAGAGAAAAAATAGCTATTATGAGTTTTCTAGCTGGCCTCAACTCAGTATAAAGGTGACAAATCACAGAACTTATATGACCCTAAATGTACTACCCTAAAGAAAGCCTATACTAGAGTATTACGTACGATTCAGAGTTCTCAGGCCACATTTGTACAACAACCTAGTACTCTCGCAAGTCAAAAAAATATAGACATCAAGAAACCTCAGTCTGAGAACAGCCACAAAAGTGAAACTCTGAATTATTAAAATCAAGGTACAAGGTAGTATATTATTACTGTCATGAATCTGATTATACAAAGAGAACGTCTCAAAAGTTGTTCCAAAAAATTATAAGGGTTCTAAATCATAATCAACTCATGTGATCACTATTAATGAGGCTTCTTTGAGTCAAACTCTATTGATCTCTATAGATGAATATGTTAAGATCATCAAATTTTTGGAAACATCCAAAAAACCCCATTTATCACTACCCTTGCTGAGTTAGGTAACAATGAAACTTATCTTATTTCCTCTTCCACACAAGGGGTCATTGATTCTAGTGCTACATATCACGTGACAGGTAAACCAAAACTTTTTTCGACCTTTCATAAGCACATGTCTGTCGTCACTTCAACAGATGAATTTACCTCTAATGTTCTTGGTTCTGACACTATCAATATGACACCCACATTGCCTCTAACTTTTGTTCTCAGTGTATCTCAATTTGTTTTCAATCTTGTTTCTATTAGCAAAATTACACGTATTCTTAGTTGTTATATCTTATTCTTTTCCGATCATTATCTATTTCAAAATCTTATTACGAAGAAGATAATTGATAAAGGATGAGAATCTTGGGGGATACATTTTTGGATAATGAGATAGCTCGACCAATAGGCTCTCTAGCACTTTATCTCCTTTTGAGATCTATTGTCGATTAGGACATTCATCACTATCAATGCTGAAAAATTTGTACCCTCGATTTTAGCAGTTATCATCTTTGAATTGCGACTCATGTCCATTTTTTAAACACAATCGATTGAATTCTATTCTCAAAGACAATAAAAGAGTAAAGCATAGTTCCTTTATTCTGATGTGTGGGAACCTTGTTCTATTTTATCTAATATATTTAGATATTTTGTCACTTTTGTTGATGAATTTTCTCCTATAACTTGGTTTTACTTTATAAAATCAGGTATTGAGTTACTACCACATTTTCAAACCTTTATGCTGAAATTAAAGCTCAATTCAATGTTTCGGTTAAGATTCTAAGAAGTGTCAATGCCAAAGAATATTTTCTACATCCTTTTAGAATATGCAATAAAACAGAATGCCTCACCAATTAACTTGTGTTGATTCTCCACCTCAAAATGAAGTAGCTAAAAGGAAAAATAAGCATCTTCTCGAAACGTCCAGAGCTATTCAGTTTCAAACGAATGTGCCTAAACAATTATGGGCTGATGTAGTTTTTACTACATACTTTTCAATCAATCAAGTGTCTTCTCCTGTTCTACAGAACGAGACGCCCTACCAAGTTTTATTTTCAACTAAATCTCTTTCCTATTGAACCACACATATTTAGATGAACTTGTTTTATTCGAGATACTCGTCCACAAGTTTCTAAACTAAATCTTAAATCATTGAAGTGTCTTTCAAGGATATTCCCATTTGAAGAAAATATATCAATGTTTTTACCCTCTTAAATCGGTGTATAATTTTTATTGATGTCACATTTCATAAACAAACCCTGTTTTTTGTCGCATTGGTGTTTAAATCCTCACAATATTTTGATGAGTTGTTAATATACCAAATCATACGTTCAGATCCTCCTCTAGCCCCACCTCCAGTGCCTCAACTTAGACCACATATCACTAATGTTTACCCTAGAAGATCTCATTCCCCTAATTCTATTCCGACACAAGTATCATCTTCCTCAATGGATCCTCCTCCTAGTGACCTTTATTTGTTTATTACTCTTCAAAGAGCTAAACGCCAATATGTCTATCTTATTTCCTCTTGTGTTAACAATCATCAATTATCTTCCAATTCTTGATAGTTTATTGTTCTCTTGACTCTAATGAGGTTCTAAGATCTGTTCAACAAACTTTATCCCATTTTGGGTGGCGAGTGACAATGTTTGATGAGATCTGAAAATAGAACTTGGAAGATAGTTGAACCATCTTCTAGCAATAAGGATGTTGGTTATAAGTGGGTCTTTATAGTTATTATTCGGTCAGATGCACCAGTAGCTCGTCTCAAAGCTTGATTGGTTGCTAAGAGCTATGCTCAAACTTAGAGAATCGACTACTTTGATGCATTCTCTTTGGTAACTAAAGTTGACTTCGGTTCGTCTAATGAGGTTCTAAGATTTGTTCAACAAACTTTATCCTATCTGGGTGGCGAGTGACAATGTTTGATGAGATGAGTGTCGTAACTGAAAATAGAACTTCGAAGATAGTTGAACCATCTTCTAGCAGTAAGGATGTTGGTTATAAGTGGGTCTTTATAGATATTATTCAGTCAGATGCACCAGTAGCTCGTCTCAAAGCTCGGTTGGTTGTTAAGAGCTATGCTCAAACTTAGAGAATCGACTATGTTGATGCATTCTCTTTAGTAACTAAAGTTGACTTCGATTCGTCTACTTATGTCCTTAGTTGCAATGAATAATTTGCTACTGCACCGGCTGAATGTAAAAAATATTTTTCTACATGGTGATCTTTTAGAAGAGGTGTACATTGAGCAACCTCCTATGTTTGTTGCTCAAAGCGAGTCTGGGAAAGTATGTCGTCTTTGGAAATCCTTATATAGATTGAAGCAAAAGCATGGTTTGAATAATTTAGCCAAACAATAGAAGGGTTTGGGATGCATAAAAATAGAACTGATCACATTGTATTTTATAAACAATCTATTTCAGAAATCATTCAATTTGAGGTTTATGTTGATGGCATTATCATTATTAGAAACAATGTGCAGGGAATCTCATCATTGATATTATTTCTTTAAAATCAATTCAACAGTAAAGATCTGGATTCCTTGGAAGTATTTCTTGGGGATTGATGTATCAAGAAACAAGAAGAATATCTTTCTATCTCAACAAAAGTGTGTGTTGGATTTGTTAGCAAAACAGAAAAATTAGGAGTCAAACCATACAGTACTCTGATGTTACCAAGGATGGAGAGTTTTTTAATGGTTTTGAATGGTATAGGAAATTAGTGGGAAAATTAAACTACCTCATAGTAACTCTTCCTACATTATGTATTCAGTTAGCACTATAAGTCAATTTATATCTTCCCCCAGAGTCCATCATTGGTCAGCTTTGGAACAAATATTATGCTACCTTAAAGGAGCCCATGAACAAGGTACTTTATATCAAGATCATGGGCATAGTACTATTGAATTTTTTTTTGATGCAAATTGGGCAAATTTCAATATTGATCAAAGATCCATTCCTGGACATTACGTCTTTGGTGGTAGTTTGATCCCCTGGAAGAGTAAAAAAAAAATGTAGTGCCACGATCCGGTGTTGAATCTGAGTATCAAGTGAAAGCACAAGCTTCAAGTGAATTGATGTGGACATCCCAACTCTTGACCAAGTTGGGTTTTAAGATGACAGTTCCAACATAGTTGTGATGTGATAACTAACCACAATCATATCTCCTCAAATCCTGTCTTTCATGAATAAACTAAGCACATTAAAATATATTGTCATTTTATTTGATAGAAAACTCAACATCATCTAAATTCTACAACTCATATGAAGATTGACGAACAATTAGGGGATGTCTTCACAAAGACACTTAATCGAGCTACACTTATATTTGTAACAAGTAAGGCATGATAAATATCTCTGCTCCAACTTGAGAGGGAGTGTTATGGAAAATTATAAATCTAAATCTTGTATATTAGGAAACTTGATATTAAGCAATCTAATTAGAAGAGATCTAATTACAGAAACTTTTCTATAATGGAGATATTCCTAATCAAGATAGTAGGGAGTTTGTATAAATATGTAATATATATTTTCAATTGGAAATAAGAAGAAAGGAAGTATTTTCCGTCACAATTAGGAAGAAATTAATTGAATACCATAAGAAAGAGCATGGTGTGCATGAAGAAAAAAGTATCAAAGGTAGGTTAAGATCATCAAAGTAAAATATATGATAAATAATTTACGCACTTTAGAAGTAGTTATGGACCAAATCATAGTAACAAAATTATAACAAGCATCAATATCACATTTTGACTCTTGGTACAAGTTATGAAGATGCTTCAAATAGATTTCTGATATGGATTGGCAAGGTATAACAAATGCCAGATCTAAAAAACGAGGTAGGCTAAAGTCTTATGAAAATACTTGTTCTAAGAAAAAATTTTGAACCAGCAATCACCAATTAATTGGAACCTACAACTAGTCAATTCCTTATTACAAACAAGGAGAAGGAATGGATGGGAGAGCATAGTGTGTGCAAGGTTGAAGAGCAAGAGATGAATGCAAAATATGGGAGAGCATAGCGTGTGCAAGATACCAAGGGAGACAGTGAACAAAATCGACCAATCCAAAGAGGGATCAATCAAACAGCCGGCATGGCAAAGTGAAGAGCACCCATATGAGAAAATTTTAAGTTCATGAAAGAGAGAAAAAGTGAGCTTGAGAGAGAAGGAGAGAGGCCTAGACAGAGTGGGAGAAGATGATCGAATCAAGCAAAAAGCAACAAGTGGCTGGGCATTCCCAGATATCATTTTGTCTTCTAATAATATTGATTGATAGGTGTTGATATTACATCTATGGAAATTTTAGACCATGCACTAAACAAACATTCCATGATAACAAAATCATCCACCTTATAAAACTTGCCTAGATTATTGTAACTTAGCATTAATCTCAATAGATGTCTCGCCAATTAAAACCATATTGGCAATAAAAATCACCAACATGCCTCACTTTAAATATCCTTTGTATGACTTTTTTGTTGAAAGGTAAAAAAAAAAAAAAAATCCAAACTTAATATTGACCTTGATGTAGACCTATTATGATTAAAAATGCTTTAATCACTCAATAGCCATTAATGCTAGCCAGTATACTGTTATACACGCATCATCAATACTTTCAAACTTTCTAGATCACACATCATTGTTCTATAATGCATACCAAATCAATTATTACGAAACTTAGTTATAATTTCTCTTAACGTTAATAAAAAGCATACAAAAGTAATTTCACTAGTCTCTATGAATAGTCATTGCCTTGAAACAAAATTGCTTCTATGATGAGTCATCCTCACAGAAAACCAAGTTGGTTCTCCAAGAAATGGTATAATTCTCTGAGTCTTCTTCCATTAGTCTAGCCTACATTTTTTTTTTTTTTTATAATAATATATGTCTTATTCATGATTTGAAAAGCCCATAGGGTTTGGGTCCTTCAAATACAATTTTGCCATTCGTGTTAGATTAAAATTAATTTTCACAAATGGTGAAGGACTATTTTGTTTTTAGGAGAGACATTATATTGAATTATTTGTCAGTTTTATAATGAGTAAAACCTCAATGATACCGTCTTAAAATTATAATGAGAGAGGGAAGTAAAAATGGGAGTTTTTTTTTGATAAAAAGATACGGAGTTATACAGAAATAGTGGTAAAACAATTATCAAGAAAATAAGTGAACAAAAAACAAGACTTTAATTTTAAAATCTAGAACTAATGATACTATAAAATTGGAATGTCGTTGTCTTTGAATTATTGAATTGCTGTAAACGGTTTGCTTGATTGTTGTAATAGAAAATTGTTCCTTATGAATTTTTAGGTTGTTATAAATGATAAAAATATTGGCCACCAATTCAATATTGTTTAAATATTAACAGTCATGAGAAAGTTTGTGATGAAGTAAATGAGAAAATGAAACGGATGGCTAAGGATTTCGAAATTTGAAACCAGCAACTATCAGTTATTTAAAGTATATATACGGATACGATAAATGATATAGATATTTATAAAACTCAATCTCATATTTGAGAAAACACATAATAAATAGCAAGATTAAATGAATAGCTATTGGTCCTATCAGCAATTCTCGAACAAACTAATAAGTTAATATTAACATTTAATAAATATTTTCCAAAGCTCTTTTTGCTAAAACTTCCTCAAACAACATAACAAGTATTAAATGAAACATGTTCATTAACTAGAAATAAACATAAGAGGAGTTTGCATGGTATTTGATAAAAAGCTAAATCAACTTAAAAAAAAAAACAAAACAAAATTAATCTATTGTCTAATATTCCGATCATTCACTATAACTTATTTTACTATCTAAGAATGTATATATACATTCCCCACCCCCCACCACCTCTTCTAACTCCCCCTCCCAAAACCCCCATCCATTGATCAATTAATCTATATCCTTCTCATGTCCTCCATCGCAAGCATTCTTCATAACCATCACCCTTTATTAGCTGAAAACTGTCAAAGTAGGAATTAGTTTATCAATGATTGCATGGTCAAACTAACCCAAATAATAAGTGTTATTTCAAAGAGGCATTACGGAAGATAAGGCATCCTAACCAAAAATTACAAAACAGAACAAGGTCTATGCTATGAACAAAAAAAAAAAGAGAAACGTAATGAGAGAAACGTAATGATGAGTTTAATATGAAATATTGTCTGCATTGCATGCCATGCTAAAGGGACCAATGGAATTCACTCCATAAATAAATATTCACAGCTTCAAAAAGAACTTGAAACAAAATAAAACCTGTGCATCTCAAAGGAGAAGGCAAGAAAAGAAAGCTTTCCTGAATCTGAAAGAACCACCAATAGATCTTTTCCTATCATCTGAAAATTTTAATTTTTGCACGTACTTAGCAATGAAAAATTAAAATTTTAAAAAACAAATTGAAGCAATTTTTTAAAGACAATGATCCAAAACAAATAAAAATAAAACCTGTGGCCTTGATTGCCTAAATTTATCATTCCATCCTAAGATGGCAAGATCTTTTATAATCCCAAATACAGGTTGCTCGCAAACTGATTGCACAATTCCATCTTCATCAACTATCACCATCTCCAATGATGTTTCCTAAAAAGAATAATATAATAACATTAGATATTGTAGAAAAATGTATAAAAATACTTCGCATAACAAATGAAATTATACAATGCATAATGCATCAGATATATAATACTTTACAGCAAAAAACTGCAAAAAAGAACAATTAATTCTTCCTTTAAGGATTTGGTAAGGAAACATATTAAAAATACACACCATTTTATGGGAAAAATGTGATGCCTCGTTTCATCTTCTTGAGGGGATTGAAGAGGGGGAGTAAGCAAGTAGTCGGGAACACGAAAGGGTACTTTTGTTCAATAAAATGACGCAAAGGTGAGATCTACTTACCTGGAGAATCGAATGGCACGTAAGAAGGCAAGAGATTGACAAGCGCAAGCTAGGGCTTCCCCATGTATCGATCTAAGCTTAAGGCGGTGACGGTAAATGACAACGGTGCCATTGAGCAGAGGAGACGAGGCACTCGACCAGGGTGGCAAAGCTTGCGGAAGTTTTGGCAATGAGCAAACAACGGCGCCGGTTTCCCTGTGCGAGAGGTCAAACCGAGTAGGCCGAACTCAATAGCGTGAGAAAAAAATTTGGATGTAAGCCCCGTTCTGTTAGCTTTAGCCAAGTGAATGACTATCATAGATATGGCCATAATAATCTTGAAAATCAATTATCATAGGTTCCGCACATGTCTTAGCCTCTAATAAATCCATAAAATATATGGTTATATTCACATTCCTATGAAAAGGCCCAGAGACTTTCCGCAGTTCACTAAGCTAATTCACTTTATTATGACCCATGCGGACACTTTGAGGTTGTTGGGAGAATTGATTTATGTGAGCTCTTATAAATTCAAGAGAAGCCTAACACTTAATACAAGGGTTTAGCAAAAACGCAGAAAACTTTGTTAGTTTATTCTGCCTTTAGTAGAGTTGTATATCATAATTTTTTTTTTATGTTATTGTGATATATTATGAAACCGAGTAATTGATGATTTTAAGTAGCCATCTAAATAAATTTAAAAATATGTAGATTAAAGTATTGTTAATTAATGAAGGTAGTAAATTGATAAATTGATTAAATCAACTAAAATAGCAATAATTTTAATATATAATTATTAGTGGAATAAAGTTAATTAAAATTAAAATAATAATAATAATTTTTAAGATACATTTTAATTAAAATTGAAAATTTTATAGTTTAATCATAACAAAATAATTAAAATTAAAGATGAATGATTATAATCTAAATTAAAATAAGGAAATAAGAAAAAAATAACTAATAATAGTTAATTAGCACAATTAGTAACGTGATAAAACTTTTATTAATATGTATGTTTTTATATAATAGGTGTTCATTACATGAGTTGCGGTATAAGAAATAAGTTGTTGAGAACATCGATGCGAGTACTCATATTCTTATGCTATAGTAATATTCTGTTTCATCTCAACCAAATGCACTTATCGTTATTGATATATTTATAGCACCACATACCCATGATTAATGGTTCTATTAAAATTTGTTCATATTGTTGGAATTACATGTATATTCAATTTTATTTAAATTATCATAGATATTGATTCATGTATAAGTATATTAAATATTATACAAATGACAATAAAAGAATCAATGCCAGATATTATTTGTTATAGTATGCTTACATATGCATCTTTGGTTATGATGGAGTTCATCAATTTATGGTACTAGCCAGGAAACGCTAAGGTATTTGTGCATGCAAATGAAAAATGATATTGATATTAAGGTACCTTAACAGATACATTTTTTAGATGATGCTCCTATGATGGTTGTACGGATATAGAATGATACGAGCATGGCATTGATATAGTCAATATCATGAAATGTCATAAGTAATCATATTCATAAACTATCAAATATTTTATATTGTAGTTTTGGAGTGAGAGTATCCACTGTTTAAAATTAGCTCACTATTGTTAAGCTAATATTTCAGGTTTAATTAAGTGATTTGGAAAATGAGCGATAGATGTGAAAGTATTTATAGTTTAAGCATAACAAAATAATTAAAACTAGAGATGAATTATTATAATTTAAATTAAAATAATGAAATAAGAAAAAATAACTAATAATAGTTAATTAACATAATTAGTAATGTAATAAAAAAGTTATTAATATGTATATTTTTATATAATAGGCGTTCATTGCATGAGTTGCGACATAAGAAATAAGTTGTGGTGAACATCGATGTGATTACTCATATTCTTATACTATAGTAATATTTTGTTTCATCTCAATCAAATGCACTTATCGTTATTGTTATATTTATAGCACTGCATACCCATGATTAGTGGTTCTATTGAATTTTTTTCATATTGTTGGAATTACATGTATATTCAATTTTGTTTAAATTATCATAGATATTGATTCATGTATAAGTATATTGACTGTTATATAAATGAGAATAAAAGAATAAATGCTAGATATTATTTGTTAGAGTATGTCTACATATGCATCTTTTGCTATAATGAAGTTCATCCATTTATGATACTAGCTAGGAAACGTTAATGTATTTGTGCATGTAAATGAAAAATGATATTGATATTAAAATATCTATACTTACACAATTTTTAGACGATGCATATATGATGGTTGTACGAATATAGAATGATATAGGAATGGTATTAAAATAGTAAATATCATGAAATATCGTAAGTGATCATATTCATAAACTATCAAATATTTTATATTGATTTATTAAAAACTTAACTGACATACAAATTATTTTCCTTTTTCTTGTGTAACTGTAGTTTAGGAGTGTGAGTATTCACCGTCTAAAATTAGCTCACTATTGTTAAACTAAAATTTCAGGTTTAATTAAGTGATTTAGAAAATGAGCGATAGAAGGGGAAGTATTTATAAAAGATGTGGACAACCAGTAATAAAATAAATTTATTTGTGTTGCTTTAACTTAATTTTGTAATGACTTTTCATTAATTAAATGTTAGTTATAGAAAATAAATATATAGATTTTTATTTCACATCGTTGCCCGCCTTAGTTATTTTCAAGTCTCAGGCCGGGTCATGACAAAAAAAATAACTTCGATTGTTGATTATTCTAACATTACATAATACTAACCTAGAAAGCGGCTTTTGGAATACCAAAGAAAACTCAATAATTGGGTTATATCAATAAGGACCACAATCTCCAATTTCATCTTCAATATAAAGGAAGCAGTTGGTGTAGGGTTTTAACAAAGTCCAACTCATCTCCTACTGATGCGGGGCTCAAAGGTTCGGGACGGCACAAGCATGGTCGGTCCTGCCTTCCTGTCGGACCGAACACGCCATAACCAATTTGGGCGGCCCTCTCCATATCCTCTGCCCCTCTCCATCTCCTGCTCTAATTTCTCCCCTTCTTAATCCTTCCCTTGCTACTAAGGTTGCATTTCAAATTTCTATCTATTCTTGTCCACTCTTCTTTAATCCTTACATACTTTCCCTACCTAATCTAGCCTCTACTCCCATCTTATTTATCCATCTCTAATTTTAGGTGAGTCGCCAAGACATTTTCACTTTGAGAGTTGTATCTAACGGTGAGCGGTGCTTCAGTTATACCTCGCACAAGGTAGTGTTTATCTCCGATCAGTTTCATCCCTCTTTTTAGTTGTCGTTTCAGCTTACTATGTGGCCCCAGGTGAACCTCAACTGCTCTTCTTTGAAGGTTGCAGGTCCCACCGACGCCCCACTCCTACACATATAAGTCGCTGGCCCCCGTCCCTGCTCTCCCTATCACTCACAAAACTCATTGGAGCCCCATTCCTGCACCGACAAACTGCTTACCTTCTTCCCTACTCGCCACAGTCGACAGTATCTCCCACCACCGCTCAATCCTGCACAGACAAGCCGCTGGCCTCCTTTACCGCAAGCCCCAGTCATTCGTAGCTCCGGTCAGCGCCCTCCTCCTGCATAGATCGGCCACCAGTCACCTCCCCTGCTCGTTCCAGCCACCTGCAGATCCTTTCAGCAACTTTCGTCGACACAGACCATCCACTCGACTCATCGATTGTTCGCCCCCGTTACCGTCGACTCTTCCTACCGCCACCAATTGGTCATCGACTTCTCCTCGGACTCCTACAACAAGCCTCAGACCCTTCTCCCCAATGTCTCCCACCGCCCCCCCCCCCCGCCACTCTTGGAGACTCCTCTTCCCCTCCTGTCAGATCTATCTCCTTGATAGAAAGGGGCATCTTTGTCTTTTGTTATTTATCTTATATATATATATATA